GCCATGGAAACTAAAATGGGTCCCAACTTTACTAATTTGTTTGTTAGTTTTGTGGAAAAACAGATCTTCAAACAATACACTTGTCCCATATCTGATTACCTTTGTATATACATACATCAATGAGATCAGTAATACCAGTGTATCATTCTTTGATATCCTTGTATCAATCAATCAATGGCAATAAGCTTGTTACTTCTGTGTTCTAGAAGCCCACTGACTCCCATAGTCCACATGCACCAAAACGTCGAGCGCGAAAATCCGAGGCCCTGATTGGATGTTAATGTTCGCACCCTGCATTTCATGCTTAACTTCCATTCCGAGTTTGAAACTAGGAGTCTATTCATATGTTCATGCATAGCCTCATATAAATATATTTCCATTTTTGTAACTAATTTATTTCCTTCAGTTCTCAGTGAAATCAGCAGATCTTTAGCTGTCTTTTTTACAGGGAAAAGAGTTATTCGCGAGCAGTCCATCTCAGCGCTCATATTATGAGATCACTGACTGGTTCGTACGTTACCGATAGCTCAGGAACCAATAAAAATGTTGTATGTTGCAGATGAACCGCCTCGCCATATAATAATGATTAAAATGTCAAAACCGGAATTACAACAATCAATGAACGACATTAATTGTAAACAAGTCAATTAAATTACTACCAGAATCTTACGACATTTAAAAACCCTGCAATTGAATATTATAAGATTTGGGGAGCATGTTTGGTATGCATGATAAATTATGATAAGTGCTTAATTAACCAAATGTGCGATGACACGATCAAGATAACTGGGAATGATCTTGGTGATGCAAGAAAAAGCAGAGACTGCTAGTTTGAGAACATTAGGGAACTTAAGCAAACGACGTTTTAGTCAACACGGACATCAGATTGGCGAGGTGGGACTGGATTGAAAACTGTGTTCGTGTCAGTTTGTGGTAAAAGAAACTATAAGATTTTTTAAGTTTTTTTCTTCCTTGCAGAAGCGCTATGACGCAAAATGCCGCCAAAATTAGTTATATCAAGTTTCTGATGACGTCCGTGTTGACGAAAACGTCACTGGCTTAAGCTCATTGATGCCGTTTCAGTGCGGTTGGATGGCCTTTTGCATGGGCTGCTGATAATGATGTCGTGGTGCATTTCTAGCAGTTTTAAAAGTAGAGTTACATTGTAATGGAGCCCATGCACTGATAATTGACCGACAAGTCGACAACACTTTTTTCATTATAGGTTTAAAAAGTATTTTACTTCCATCCATCAAAGCACCATATCCAATATCACAGTTTTATCACCACTGGCCATCTTTTCGCATACTGCGAAGACCCTCACATCCACAACACCTCGCCCACCTGTCATGTACTCCTTGCCAAACCCAAATTTTATAAACATAACAACCCGGTAAGAACAATTGTCTGTGTCTGTGTTTGTGTTTGTTTTGTGTCTGTGGTTTAATTTCCCAACGAGCTCATCTCCAGTTATCATGATAGTGTCGTAGCACCTTGGTTAAGGACTTACCTTCCTATCTCAAGAATGTGTCTATAAACTTTTAGTTCATATTTGTGCGGATATCTATTGTTCTCAATAGCGTTTTATTTGGGTAAGAATCTAAAAGCAAGGGGAGGAATTTGATATTTCCACAGGGAAAAGCGGGGTTGATGAATAGAATTGAATGCCTAATTAAAAATGCAAGGTTTCTAACTCCATGGTGACCCCTTTTAGAGGTCACTATGGAGTTAGATACCTTGAATTTTTAACGAAGTATTCAATTCTATTCACCAACCCCACTTTTCCCTGTGAAGGTATCGAATTCCTGCCCTTGCTTTTAGATTCTTACCAAATTATATACCTACCACACCCATTTTCTATTGTTCTCGGTCGGTTTTGGTTTCCGACTAAAGACAAGGTTATGAAGGCTGAACTGAAAATGTAAGACTTGGTACGGTCCTTACATTTGAATGTAAGACCCGCACCGGTTTTACATTCAAATGTAAGAAAGAGTCTTACATTTTCAATTCAAGACCTGGCATAAGTCTAGAATTCGGGACTTGAATTTGCAACAAAACTAAAACCCCACATCTCATTTTCGACTAGAAGACGCTGCACGTCTCTGAGTCGAGAAAGAGACAACAGCCGTGTACCTCAGAGCCGGTCAAACTCTACCTTTGGGTAGAATATTTATCATTCGGTGCACGAGGACTAGCTGAACCAACCATCAAACTAGCTTGTGCAAGGAATTTATACAGTAATATCTGCTCTTTCGCTTGTTGGACGCGAAACGATATACTACGCATGCTGAACCACATTAAAGCGTGTTTTATGCGCATGTTCAACCTTATTTCGTCCCACAACCACAACCTCCCAACAGCCACAACCTCCCAACAACCACAACCTCCTCCCTCCTTTCGTTCCACAACCACAACCAACCATGCAAGTCCGACCCTCATGGTCGGTCTTTCATTGAAATTCAAGACCTCGGCGCTGCGCGCCTCGGTATTGAATTTCAATGAAAGACCTCCCATTCGGTTTTTATCCTAAATATAAAACCCTGTTGAGAACAACTTGAAAATCTCTGCTTCGACAAACCCGTACAAATCATCATTAGCGCTTCTCGGTTGTATGAGCCATTTCAATCTTATTTCGGCACACTTTTTCCAAACACGAACTGCCCAGATGGTGTTGTGCCTTGTGCCTACGCTATGTGTTCAATACCACTTTTCTACAAGCTCTGGCTGCACTGCGTATAAAACTGTTATGACGGCTCTCCTTCGTTTTCTCTTTGTCGCCTTTGGGCACTTCAAATCTCGATCGTTCATCGTTTGGCTGCTGTAACTCTCGTTCCCCAAACCGAATATTGTACAGTAGGTCTACATTTTCAAAACGGGCTTTATGAAAGATTATTAGTCGCTACACTGGTCATTAATGGTTTGTTTAAACGCATTCACGGCTAGATGCATGTGGTATGATAAAATAATACCACATTTTAATAAAATGAATGACTTTATTGTCTTTGTACCGGGTGGGGCAAAATAAAGTACGACTGTTTGAATTGCTGCAAAATCAAAACTAAAATTGAAATGACAGTAACACAAGTTTATTGACATTCAGCGATGTTCAACTTAAATTTTGATATATACCATAAATGAGCTAAAAATGGCTTATTAAATATTAATACATACATCATGCAATGAATTGTGTTAAGACGCATTATACTCTATTGTCAGTACGTTCATGACTCTTGTGGTTCAAAAACAATCGTCTACATTCATCAGTAAATGCATGTCTCCCAGCACGAATGCAACGTCTTGCCCGTGAAATCATACAATCGAAAGAATTTTGGACATTTGCTGTTTCAAGTTGCGGCATTCTGTAACAATCGTTCCACGAAGCTCTCTCAATAGAATTTGAATCGCACATAGACTTGCCCCAATCCGAATTGGAGGTACTCTCTCGTGTCGAGATTTCTCATTCAACAAAGTGTAGATCCAGAACTTACAACTGACTTCGTCCAGCCAACCCACTAATTAAAACAATAATCGCGAGAAAAGGTAAAGGTTATTCAATTGGTTTTAATAGGGCCTTTTCAGCTAATTCTCGGCGATTCCAAAAATGTTTGCTTAAGTTTAAACACAGTTATCTTTGTCAATATGGCGTAAAAAGGTACAAGACATATATCAAAATTTAAGTCAAACATCGTGGAATTTTCGGTGACTTATTTAAGTGTAATAGCTAATTTACTTTTTAAGTCATAGTATAAACAAAACTGTCATACTTTTTTTGCCCCACCCGGTATAATTGTATACAAACATATTTTATCGTAATTTTTGTTGGTGAACGAATATTTAATCACTTCTCATTGACAGTGTACAGTAGTGCGACACGAGAATTGATGCATATCAAATGCGAAAGCCCTGTACCTGTGGCTGTTTGTTTTTATTACAACATGCATGGTAATTCAAAATCATTTAAAGAACAATAATCATAAGGTAAATTTCATTATGGTTCAATCCTTACAAATATATGAACTAATGGAGTTAGGAGCCTGTAACTTTAAATTAGCTATAACTTTTATCACTAAAACAGAAAACAAAAACTACAAAACCAAATAACAAACTCTCCTATTTTAATTTTACACATCTTTAACTTTCAGAATATAAATTCTAACCCAAATGACTAGACGCTACACACAAAAATACACACACAAATATACAAAACACACGAAAATACAAAATTTTAAATTCATGATCTTACGTCTCAGGTCAATCACGACCAGTTAAACCACAACCGCTACAATTATTAATTTCGATTTTCACAATCTTTGCACTTTCTTCTCAACATTTCTCTCCGCCAGCATTCTCCATGACCGATTCAGCATTGTCACACTTTCTCTTCACTCCATCTCTAGTCAAGTCGACGAACGTAGGGCCTCCACATTCAAACGACTTTGAAACGGCCTGCTTGGTCGACACATCTGGTCTTTGATACGTTAACAACGACCTACGACCTCTATGTCCATGCTAGCGGGTCATGATTAACTTTTCTGGAAAACCTTTTTCCAAGCCGTGACTGACTGTAGTCGCTCCCTCTTAAACTATGATTAGTGAAGTTGCCGTCAATTCCAGCTTTTTTACACAGATTTCGATCCGTCTGTCCAAGTACGTTATGCCCCATAGGATTTAATGTAAACCATTCTTAAATAAAATACAAGTCTATGGAATAAATTACCAACTTTTTATGCAAAGTGAAATGAACACTAACCTCCTTAAAAACTTCTCATTCACTCGTAAAATCAGAAGTAAACCTATACCTGGACCGTCTTCCTCATATTTTCGACGTGCACTTACGTAGAATGAATCTTTCCTGCATGGTGGCTTCTTTAGGACATTTTGCCAAATACATTTTATACAACATCACAAGGCATCGTTCAGGTCGATCCCGATTTGCATAATGCTCGACACGCTTTGCCTGTACTGCAGGATGTTTCAGACCAACAAGATTATTTTTTCACCAAATGAACATTTCTCTTCTTCATTTCCTTTAGCCCCGACCAAACTTAGCTGGCTAAACCGTAAACGTCGATGCTCTTGCCCACTTCGAAGCGAAAAGTTATTTCCAATAAAGACCACTAAGGTGTCTAGTGATACTCGTGCATTATGGCTACCGAGTACTTTTGAGCTCCACAACTTTTCTTCTGAGAACGGTTGAGCTTGTTTAACGTCCAAGTCCACGCCGAGACTTGTGAGCCTTTTCATCTCCGAGTCAAGCGAATCTTGAAAGCCTTTGAAAGATGCATCTTCAAAAATTTTTATCGCAGGCTTTCCATTCTCTCTCAAATGTCCCTGCATTCGCAAGCGAGCTGTTATAACGTATTATAGGAGGATATGGCATTCCTGGATTCTTTTTTTGTCTAACTTCAACGATGAACTTGCCAAGCCAATAACATAATTCCTCTTCCTCTTGCTCAAGCATATCCGCATGTACAACTCTGTAGCGTTCGTTAATACACAGTGAGGAACGTATCGCACCTCTCTCCTCCGCAGAGCCTCCTTAAGTATTTACAAATAACTTACATGAAGTTTCCTGAATAAAAGTGAACGCGCGCGGTGTGATGGGAAGATTGAAATGAAGTTGGGGAGGCTCTGCCAGATAATGCGACGAAGTATCGTTTTTGAACCAAACTAGCTGTTTGACCTTTTTTTAAGCTTGAAATCGGCGGAAATGTGAAAGAAAATGAAATGAATCTTCATAATCTGAGTATCGAAGTTCAATAGAGTCATTTTTATAAAGAAATTTTGCAATTAGGAGGATATTTATAATTAGATAGCTCGGATCCATTGATATTCGTTTGCAATTTCTCAATATTTTTCGATGCAAATACACGGAAGAAGATATTGATATTTAATTCACCCCAGGATACTCAAGTACGCCTGAAAATGAAAGTCGAAAACATGTTTTAACACCCCCGATCGTTGATCGAACATCGCTACAAACGATTATATACGACGCCATATTGATTGCATTAACTCGCAGAGGCTTCTTTTATTTATCTCTTCCCATCACTCCTTGCGTGTTCACTTTTCCCTAACTAGAAACTTCATGTAAGCCTCTGCGGAGGAGAGAGGTATCGCACTTCTTTCCTTGGTCAACTCAGTCCAAGTTCGCAGACACCACGCTGTGTTGGACTTCGTCTTTTCTGGTATTCTGCCCTCTTGTCTCCTGTTCAATTCCTCGTCGCTGACAAGAGCGATTTTACGAATGATTGGCAAAGCTGCATTCTCTTGAATTCCAGAGCTTATCTCCTTCTTTTCGTTTTGTGGCGTGTACGAAACATTGCCGATCCCGATTCAAAAAAATTTGGTTCAAAATCACTCTCATTCGCTGCATTTTGTCTAAATGAGTCTCTTGCAATGTAAAACGACTCATCGTCGCTATCCATCTTGAACCTTCTCAAGCTAAGTCAATAGTTTTAACAAACTTTACGCTAAGCTTCCCGCTCATGTATTCAAACATCCAAATTGAACATGATAAGAGAACTGATGCATATCAAATGCGAAAGCCCTGTTTGTTTTTATTACAACCATGGTAATTCAAACTCATTTAAAGAACAATACATATCATAAAGTAAATTTCATTGTGGGTCAATCCTTACAAAGATGAACTAAGTTAGTTAGATACCTCAAACGTCGGCTCTTAGTCAGATAAATCCCTCGGGGCCTACGGCCCCTCGGGTTTGCATCTGACTAGGAGCCTCCGTTTTTGGTATCTAACTCTTACATAAATATGTGGTTAGTAAAAGAACGCATAATGGAGTCAAACCTCATGAAATAGATTATTATAGAAAACATTCGCCGCTTACCACTGTTGTACACCTAGTACATTTTACTAATGGAAATGCATGCATGTAGCAACCTCTCGTCTAATTTTTCTAAACATTGTTTTAACATGAAGTATAAGTGTAATTCGCCAACACTGAACGCAGGTTCGCGCTGTGCGTCAAGGGCTGTCATGTCAACACAATTATTTTTAAATGTTTATTTTTTAATACTTTATTATTTCTGTACAAAGTGGCAAAATTGATTGAAAGATTAGTACTTTTAATTAGATATGCAACAATAAATTAAAGAAATATATGCTGTGCGTATGTTATTTTGTATTTTGTGAGTTTTAATTGATTTAATGTATAAGTTAACCTGAAACGCTTTGAAAAATGTTTGAAATGTTCGTTCTTTAGCTGATCAACTGTTTTTAACTTAATACATCTAAATAAGTTCGGATAAGCAATGTTATGTTGATTTGACTAAAATAACATGACGTACGTGGAATATTTTATTGTCGCCCGCGATGAACTGAGAAAAAATCATTGAACTAAAATTTATGGAACTGAACATGCCCAAACTTGCCTGAAGCCAAATTTTACCCCCAGACACGCGCGTCTGGAGGTAAAATTCACGCGCGTTGTCGCGTTTCCTGCGTGGCGCCGAAGAACAGCGACAGCCAACCAACATGCATTTATAGCAACATGTGATTGAAAAGGTTTTGAAAAGGAAGGCACTTCTCTTGTTATGGAGCTAATCGGTTAAATTTTCATTCAATACAGAATGAATCATAACTTTTCATACGTGTATTCGATCGGTAAATCGGGGAAATGAAACATTTTTTCGTTCAAATTGAACATGTACACAAACGACATGGATTCAGAGATTCAGAGTGGCATTGTAAAGTTGTAAACACGTAAGTGCCTTTACTAAATTTATTAAATATACATGAAGCTCAATCGCATCTGCAACAGAGTAACTGAAATTGTATTTGATTTGAGGACAGTTTGTTTGCCAGGTTCAATCCTTCTTGTTCTTGAATATTCTGAAGCTCTTCGATATGTTTCCATCTTATGATGTTGCCATCCCCATCAATGGGCCATTCCATTTATTAAATATAGCCAGGCACCCCCCAATTGATGGGTCCCTTCCAAATCCCCTTAGGTTAAAAACATTTAAAACCCCCTTGGATGTGATTTTTGTAAGTTACCCCATGGATATCTTGATACCCCCTTTAGGATATCGTTTTTGCTCCCTTGGATATCACTAAAACACCTAATTTGTGCTATTTTTTTGAAAAATTTTAGGTAAAAACCCCCTCCCCCATAGGATATCCAGACCCCTCAATAGGGAGGTGCCTATATTAAATGGAATGGCCCATTATAAAGGATCCCATGGACAGGGTCGAGTATCACAAAAACATCTTTGGTTGTTGGATTCTTAAAAGTCACCAGAAAATTTGCAACCCAGTGTTTTGAATGTACTAATGTTAACATCTGTGCCATCAGCTGTTACTGACCACGTTTTTAGATTAGCATTTGCAACTTTTTCAAGACACATTTTACCAGTGTGGCTTGGTCCTATGCATTCATTTTATCAGCCAAGAGGTATCCCACTGGACATTTACAATGACTTCTGGTGCCTACCAGAAGGAAAACCAAAGCTTCTGTGGCCAATTTTTCTAAATGTCCATTAGGAATCTCATTTCCAAAGTCTACAAATCCGTAGGAGTCTTTTTCTGGATTCCAAATGGTTTGTTTTCGGACAGACATTGCGTCTATTACCAAACAGTAATCGTTGTCAGTAGTTGATTGGGCTCGGCTCGGCTGATAATGCTTACTTCAACCTTCTGAGAAAGGGATGAGAATGCCTCATCAATAAAGCCTGGATGTAATTTTGTGTAATTCATCACTTGAGGCACATCTTGGTCTTTTTTTCTGAAATTGAAGGATCATTTTCATGTGCTGGACATGGTCTCACGGTCTGTTCTTCTGTTTAATTCTTCGTCAGCTGCTGTTAATGTTGGTGGGTCAGAATGTACAGGTGAACCAGATAGGAAAGCATATTTTTTGAGTCGACATGTGTTGTTGGATGAAGGAGGCAAGATGTAATCAGTTGATTGGAAATGCTTGCTGCCTATACGACTGTCCTGGTTGACTTGCCATGCTTTTTATTAACTTTTTTGAACATAATTCTCCCAACATATTTGTAAAGCATTATTTTTCAAAGGAAATCCATAACAATAATAATAATTTTTATGTAAATTCAGCTTAATTATCACCCTTCTGTCTGTCTGCTTGTCTTATTTATTCTTGTGGGTTTTTTTTTGTTGTAGGTGATGTACACATGTCAAAAGTCAAAATGTGTAAAATAGGCTTGTTTTTGCTATATTTTCTTTGAAGTATCTAATATCACAGGTTTATGTTTTTTTGGTTTTTTTTTTTCTGTGTTGGTGTTGTGTACTCAGGTGAATATGATATTTGTGATGTTACTCTGAGTGTATATCCACACCGGGTGAGCTTGAAAAATATGCCCGGCCACGGTGGGATTCGAACCTACGACCTTTGGAATACTAGCCAAAAAAAATCATATTACTAGAATACATTGGTATCGAAGGAACTATATTCAGTTCTGAAATATCACTTACTCGAACCGTCCTGACCGCGTAGCTCTGTTGGACAAGCATTGGGCTAGTATTCCAAAGGTCGTAGGTTCGAATCCCACCGTGGCCGGGCATATTTTTCAAGCTCGCCCGGTGTGGATATCACTCAGAGTAACATCACAAATATCAGGTTTATGTTTGTTTTTTTTTGTGTATAATTAAGCCAAAACTAAGAAATATTGTTGCAGAAACATTAGTGATTCTCAATGTTTCCTCAAATGTTCTCCCATTTGCCCACCCGTGGAAACATTGTTGCAGAAACAAATTTTGCTTCTTGAGAAACAAGAAAGTTTCCTACCAAGTTCGGACTAAGATTATAGTTGCGGAAACATTGTTTCTCCGTTTGCCCACCTTGGCCGGCTTGGGAACATTGGCAGGAAACAATGTGGATTTTGAGTAAAGTGAACAAAGGATAAATAAATACCTGTGAAATGTGAATTTTTAGTAAAGTAAAATGAATAAATAAATACTTATAATAATAAATAAATAATAATATACTATCTATTTCTTATTCCTTATTCATGGCTCATAAGGGTTGTTATCGTCATGTTTAAAGGTCGGTCAAAAGTACATATGAAAGATTTTTATTTTTCCACACTCAGGGACAAAACTAGGTTTAACTTTGCATTCTGCTCACCTGGCATTTCGAAAAACAAAACAAATAACATAAGTGTAAATTCTAAATAAAAACTAGGCAGAGTTTTCATGAATTTCATTAAAAAAGACAAAGTTTATTCAATAAAAAACATCTTTCGGCAGCGACATGATTGCATTTTCGAGGATATTTTTTAAAACAATTTATAAAATCAAATTTAAATGCTTGTGTTTTGGCCGCGCGTATTTATCGCGAGGAAAGACTTGGTTCTAA